TATTTTAGTGTGAATATTCACATCATGTTTGTATTCAAAGTGAAAGCTGAGGTTTGTCGTTGTGTAAGTTGATGCAATGCTGATGTGAACCTTCACATCACCTTGTCACAGTGGTAATGAACACAGTGAAAACATATTTACGATTCAATATTATATTGGTGTGTGAATAATATTAACACTAATTGATAACACAATGACAAATTTTCAATTCAAATTAATGTGAATATTAACAACCCCATACAACCAACCAACTAACCAAAATTTAATCTAGATAATAATGTTAAAAGCAAGAAACAGAGCATACAATCATTCATATACATTCACATTCTTCCTACAATGTAAATATTCACCACATTCAAAAAATAGAGCCATATCTCAGTCACATAACCAGCCAAAACCCATAACCCTATTCAACAAAATAAAACTTTCATCAGCGAGAAAAATATGAATATGAATTTCACATCCTTTGTAATTTTGAAAATATTAGAATACATTGGACAAAAGTACTACAATTAGTTATTTTGATTGTGCTTAATAAGATACAATGGTATGTTGTCAGAATATTTGCTACTAGAAAGTCAATGTTGATATTCATATTGGTTTATGTTATTTTATAATTATGTACACATAACCATTGGCTTAATGTGACTAAATAAATTCATTTGATGTTTTATTCGTGATGTTAACATTCACATCAATAATCCGATTGTGCATAAACATATACTTCATGTTTGTGTACACACTAAAATGATGGTTTGTGCTTAATGCAATGTTGATGTAGTCATATTTTTAGAGATTAGAAAATCAATGTGAACCTTTACATTGTTGTTAGCTATTTTACAATTGTGTACACATAATCATTGGCTTAATGTGATTTGTGGGCAATGCAATTTTGATGTGAACTTTAATATCACCATTCCATATTAGTAATTAACACTTTGAAACCATAGTACCTTTATCTATATTCCAGAATTCATGTGAAGCTTCACATTCGTATATTTCAGTGTGAATATTCACATCACGTTTGTATTCAAAGTGAAAGCTGAGGTTTGTTGTTGTGTAAGTTGATGCAATGTTGATGTGAACCTTCACATTACCTTGTCGCAGTGATAATGAACACAGTGAAAACATATTCACGATTCAATATTATGTTGGTGTGTGAATAATATTAACACCAATTGATAACACAGTGACAAATTTTCAATTCAAATTAATGTGAATATTAACATTGATCATATTATGCAAAAAAAATAGCTAGTCTATATTTTGCGCAACTAATCCCAAAACCAAACACTTTATGAACATTCACATTTTTCATGCGATGTGAATATTCACCATGTTCAAAAATTTAAATCAAAACTCAAACACATGATCAGCTAAAAACCAACAACCCCATACAACCAACCAACCAACCAAAATTTAATCTAGATAATAATGTTAAAACCAAGAAACAGAGCATACAATCCTTCATATACATTCACATTCTTCTTGCGATGTGAATATTCACCACATTCAAAAAACAGAGTCATATCTCAACCACATAACCAACCAAAACCCATAACCCATTCAACCAAATAAAACTTGCATGTCCATCAATTCCAGAAAATGAAGTTGGAAAAAGAATTTAACAATATAGATTGGATACAAAAATAATTGCGATTCAAATCCATCTCCTTTTTCCCTTTGATTCAATCCAGTCAAATGTAAGTTTTAATCAATCTACTGAACAAGTTTGTAAGCCATCATCTTTGTTCCTTTGATTCAAATCCTCCTCTTTTCCTTTGATTTCTGATTGAAATCATAACTATGGGCTAAAAAAAAAAAAAAAAACAGAGCACAAACTCTGAATCGTCATCTTCTCTCCTACAGGAATTAAACCCTACCGCAACAAAATACTACCACGAACTCTGTGTCGTCGTCTTCTCTCTTATAGGAACGAAACCCTACCACAACAAAAACAGATGGAAACGCGTATATCATTCTTGTATATAATATATATCAATAATAGACATAAGGGTATAATAGTCTAACAAAAATATAAATCAGGAAAAAATGACCTTATGGAATAAAAGTATAAACACATGGGACTAATTAGGGTATAATTTTTCTTTGTGGACTTATTGGGATAGAACACCTTTAAATGGGATTTATCAATAAAAAACCCCTTGAATGAAAAATTATAAGAGAAAAATCCTAATTTTTGGTAATCGTAGTTTTAGTCCGGTATCTCGTCTTTTGTTGCGAATCGGCATCATGCGGACCGAATTATTTTTCCTATCATTATTTATTAATTATATGATTTAAACATATGTTTATTTCAAAATTTCTGATTGTACCCTTTTCTTTATTAATTATTGCATTTTGGCCCTAAAACCTTAATATTTTATTCAATAAACGTATAACCAATATTTTATTAATTTATACAAAATATCCTCTATATTTTATTAACAAAAAAAGAATCAAATTTTCACATGGGTAAATAGGGTAGCCGGTTGTGGGTGGTGAAAAGGACCTAGAATTGTATTTTTATACATAGCAAACCTTGTACAAATATGCAACAAATCTTTGACCAACATGGAGGAATGGGGGGCATCTAAGGCTATATCTTTTTTGTCTCCCAATTAACTAGTAAATAGGATTACTTACTCTTAATCAAGATCAATTAACACAAATCTTAATTGGATCCAATTACAAACCAACCAAACTTGAATACTTTCCATTGAAAACCAACTAAACCAAACCAACCCTTCTCTCTCCTCCTTGGCCTATAAATAAAAGCCTTGTTAGCTATTTTATTTCACTCCATACACACAAAACACACAGTTGAGAGAGGAGGAAAGGGAGAGCAAGTGAGCTTGAGAGAAAAAAAAAAGAAGGAAAGAGAGCAACAAGTAGGAAAAAGATCTAGCAAATCAAGGTAAATCTCATACACCTCTTCTCTCAATGAATCATGATGTTTTTCCCCTTCACAATACATGCTAAAAATATATTTCACATGATACTAAGAGTTACTACATTGTTAGATGATGTATGGTTTAAAAATAAAATGTTCCTCTTCTTCCTTGCAATTTCCAGCAAGCTTTTCACAAGGTTTTTGATTTTATTTCCATAGCAAACCTTCACCAACTCAAAATCTATTTTAAAGGGGTATTAATTGACATATATAGAGTATGTGAGAATTTTGGCTAAGACCATGGATGTGTTTTTATGACTCCTTTTATTTTTCTAAATACTTGGTGCAAGAAACTGTTTAAAACAGGGAACTTTAAGAAATTCTAGAAAATTATAGAAAAATGATCCCACACTAATTGTTATATCAAAATATTCCTTTGAAGGCTAGCTTTCAAAAAAAATTTATTTCAATGAACATGAATTAGTATTTTAAGAGAAACACCAAATTTTGTAACAATTGTCAAATCTGGGCAAATCTGTGTATTTCTTAAATATCTAAAAATCAAAAAAGGTCACCCTACTTCCATAAAATGATTCTAAAACTAGACTTGATTCTCTACAAATTCTCAGTAAGCCACATTTCTGAAACCCTTAGAAAATATTTTTTCTATATTTATTTTTGAATTGGTGCAATGCTGAAAATCTGATAGTGTGGTTCTTGATGTAGTGTTTTTGTTCTATCATGACATATTTGTTGTAATATATGTTATACTTGCATGCTTGAGTTTCACCTTGAATGGCCTTATTTTGCTCTTACTTGTGCTAACCACTTGTAATGAACTTAATGTGAAAAGGGAAAAACTAAATGGGTTGGTAAAGAGGGTTGACGACCACACTAGTTATACATCATAAATGATGATGTTAAGTTCATATTAGTAGTAGATTAAAATGAGCAAGTCTTGCGCAACTGGTTATTTCAGAACCCTTGAATGGAGTGGTTGTATTCGAACCCTAAGTAGTTCGGTGTAAGGAGGGATTTGAACTAGGCCCATCATTACCGTCTCTTTTGAAGCTCTCGGTTGGCACTACGCAATATATAGTCGTTGGTAGGCATCCGACGTAAGGTCTACAACAAAGCAGCAAAAGAAAGGGTATACCGAATAATCCACGTCCAATTCTTGGAGTTAGGAGGACGAAATCTCTTTGGAAGATTTCTAGACTACTAACAATCACTACAACAAAAAAAAGCCTTTGGTGACAGACTGATTTTGTCTCCAAACATCAAATTTTTGTCACTAAAGTGATCTGCGACGAAAAAAATTTGTCACCACGTTCGTGGTCTATACATCGTCGCTGAAAGTACCTGGTGACGAAAAATAATTTCATTGCCTATTTTTGATTTTTTAGGAGGACGAAATCTCTTTGGAGGATTTCTAGACTACTAACAATCACTACAACAAAAAAGGCCTTTGGTGACAGACTGATTTTGTCTCCAAACATCAAATTTTTGTCACTAAAGTGATCTGCGACGAAAAAAATTTGTCACCACGTTCGTGGTCTATACATCGTCGCTGAAAGTACCTGGTGACGAAAAATAATTTCATTGCCTATTTTTGATTTTTGGCGACGAAATGTTTCGCCTTCGAATGTTGAATTTTTCGTCCTCTATAACATCAATTTCGCCAATAAACTAAATAATATTTTATTTTAATTATTTTTGGCGACGAAATATTTCGTCACCAAATAGATTTTAGTGGTGACAAAAAAAATCGTCACTAAAATGAGCAGAAAAAAAATTTCTTCAATGACAAAAAACATTTTGTCACCAAATATTTCAATTTAGCGATGAAATATTTAGCAAATGTGATGAAAATATTTGTAAGGTACTATATCATTAGTGACAAAATTATTCGTCATGTTTTTTGAAAACTAATTTTTTATTTCGTCACTAATAAAAATTAAAAAATTTGAAAATGGGAGTACTATTTTCTTCCGAATTTTTTTCTTTTCAGTAACAATTCCCTGCGCATTTCAATAACCTGTTCAATAAAATATCTATTACAAACCAATACAAAAATCTGTTCATTCTCATAAACATCACAATCGAATTTCGGCACTATCCACAAAAATACAATATGAACTGCATGTGGATTATAAACATGTCTCCTAATATCCACAAAAAACGTCTACTAATATCCACACAAGTATAATATCAACCGCATGCAGATTACCAAACACATCTCCTAATATCCAACAAAAAACATGTCTACTAATATCAACAAAAATAAAATATCAATGGCGGATTACCCAACATGTCCTGTAATACCAACAAAAATATAAAATTTACAATGCAACCAAAATACATGTAAGGTAATATGAACAAAAACACAAAATGAGCTACCATCTGCCCTCCAAATTACCAAACATGTCTATATCAAATCTCGAATCTGCAAAAAACTGAAACACAAGAAAAAAAAAAATGCAAGTTAGACAATTATTATCTTATCCATAAAATATACAATTTAACACGCATTTTCGAATTAGTTTTCAAATCGGGAGTCCAATGCAAGTTTCATAAGTTTACACAACTTACATTGGTCCCTCCCGACGTGTTTGAAGCGTTCTTCGGGCCGTCCCGTGGCTGTTGCACGATTTTGGCCCCCGAAGGTCTATTTTCAAACTTAAGTGTGAAAAAGTGCAATTTTGGATTTAGTTTTCAAACCGGGAGTCCCGTGCTACTTCCGTAAGTTTCCACAACTCACATTGGTCCCTTCCGAACTATTTGAAGTGTTCTCCGGGCCATCTCGGGCCTGTTGTACGATTTTGGCCTCCAATAGCCTATTTTGAAGCTTAAATGCGAAAAAGTGCATTTTTCGACTTAGTTTTCAAACCGGGAGTCTCATGCTAGTTCCATAAGTTTTCACAATTCACATTGGTCCCTCCTAAGGTGTTTGAGGTGTTCCCAGGGCCGTCTCATGGCTGTTGCACGATTTTGGCCTCCGATGGCCTATTTTCAAGCTTAAGTGTGAAAAAGTACATTTTTCGACTTAGTTTTCAAACTTGGAGTCCCATGCTAGTTCCGTAAGTTTCCACAACTCACATTGGACCCTCCCGAGGTGTTTGAAGTGTTTCCCGGGCCATCCCGTGGCTGTTGCACGATTTTGGCCCTCGAATGTCTATTTTGAAGCTTAAGTGTAAAAAAGTGCAATTTTGGACTTAGTTTTCAAACCAGGAGTCCCGTGCTAGTTCTGTAAGTTTTCACAACTCACATTTGTCCCTCCCGAGGTGTTTGAGGTGTTCCTAGGGCCGTCTCAGGGCTATTGCACGATTTTGCCTTCCGATGGCCTATTTTCAAGCTTAAGTGTGAAAAAGTGCATTTTTGGACTTAGTTTTCAAACCGAGAGTCTCGTGCTAGTTCCGGAAGTTTCTACAACTCACATTGTCCCCTCCCGAGGTGTTTGAGGTGTTCTACAGGCCATCTCGTGGCTGTTGCACGATTTTGACCTCCGATGGCCTATTTTCAAGCTTAAGTGTGAAAAAGTGCAATTTTTGACTTATTTTTCAAACCGGGAGTCCCGTGCTAGTTCCGTAAGTTTCCACAACTCACATTGGTTCCTCCCGAGGTGTTCCCCAAGCCGTCCCATGCATGTTGCACGATTTTGGCCCCCGAAGGTCTATTTTCAAGCTTAAGTGTGAAAAAGTATAATTTTGGACTTAATTTTCAAACCGGGAGTCCCGTGCTAGTTTCGTAAGTTTCCACAACTCACATTTGTCCCTCTTGAGGTGTTTGAGGTGTTCCCCAGGCCGTCTCATGGCTATTGCACGATTTTGACCTCCAATGGCCTATTTTCAAGCTTAAGAGTTGAAAAAAATGCATTTTTAGACTTAATTTTCAAACCGGGAGTCCCGTGCTAATTCCATAAGTTTTCATAACTCACATTGGTCCCTCTCGAGGTGTTTGAGGTGTTTCCCGGGCCGTCTCGTGGCTGTTGCACGATTTTGGCCCCTGAAGGCCTATTTTCAAGCTTAAGTGTGAAAAAGTGCATTTTTGAACTTAGTTTTCAAACCAGGAGTCCCGTGCTAGTTCTGTAAGTTTCCACAACTTGTGTTGGTCCAACCCGATGTGTTTGAGGTGTTTACTGGGTCATCTCGTGGCTGTTGCACGATTTTGGCCTCCGATGGCCTATTTTTGAAGCTTAAGTGTGAAAAAGTGCATTTTTGGACTTAGTTTTCGAACCGAGAGTCTCGTGCTAGTTCTGTAAGTTTTCACAACTTACTTTGGTCCCTCCCGAGGTGTTTGAGGTGTTACCCAGGCCGTCTCGTGGCTGTTGCACGATTTAGGCCTCCGACGGCCTATTTTCAAGCTTAAGTGTGAAAAGTGCATTTTTAGACTTAGTTTCCAAACCGGGAGTCCCATGCTAATTCTGTCAGTTTCCACAACTCACATTGATTCCTCCTGAGCTGTTTGAGTTATTCCCCAGGCCGTCTCGTGGCTATTGCACGATTTTGGCCTCCGATGGCTTATTTTCAAGCTTAAGTGTGAAAAAGTGCATTTTTGGGCTTAGTTTTCAAATCAGGAGTCCCGTGCTAGTTTTGTAAGTTTTCATAACTCACATTGATCCCTCCCGAGGTGTTTGAGGTGTTCCCTACGCCATCTCATGGTTTTTGCACAATTTTGGCCTCCGGTGGCCTATTTTCAAGCTTAAATATGAAAAAGTGTATTTTTTTACTTAGTTTTCAAACCGGGAGTCCCGTGCTGGTTCCATAAGTTTCCACAACTTACATTGGTCCCTCCCAAGGTGTTAGGGGTGTTCCCGGGCCTTCTCATGGCTTTTTCACGATTTTAGCCCCTGATGGACTATTTTCAAGCCTAAGTATTGGAAAAGTGCATTTTTGGACTTAGTTTAAAAAGGAAAGAGCTCTGAAGACTATGGTACCCGTGTACGAATATTCGCATACACACTTGGGACTGCCAATTTTATCTGAGCTGCAGGTAGTAGACATACAATTATTTGTATATGTTGGATATAAGGGATTATACTGTTCAACAATACAATATTTATTTTGTGATGCTCCCGTGCAAAAGAAAGGTTTTAAATGTCGGATGCTATGTATCAGGATTTTAAACTTCAGGCCGTTGTTAGTACTTTTAAAACTCTACCAGATGCCCTACAACCATGTCAACTAGCAATCAATAATTGGTCCAAAAATCAAATTCCTACACTGCATCACCCAAAACTGAGAAAAATATAAGAAAATTGGCTACAATTGTTCAGTTATCTGTAGCAAATCACAAGAGTACACTAGCAAGGAGTGAAATATTTTAAGTTGAAAATATTCCAAAGACAAAAATAAAGCAAAAACAAATGGTTACTGTTAAAAAAAATACTGTATTATTGATTGATATGTGTTGTTGTATCTATTACAAATGGTGAGTGGCTCATTATATAGGAGAGGGTGACTGTAGTAGGTGAGGAGTAGGTGGTGGTAGGTGATGGTAAATTGGTGGTAGGTGATGGTAAATTTTAACAGCCCCCCGCAAACTCAAGGAGGATAGAAACTAACCAACTTGAGTTTGGAGAGAGTAACAAAACAAGAAAATACATAAAAATAAAAAAGGATAGGAGACACTGTATGGTCGTGTCAGACCATTGGTGAAAACACTGGATGGTGGTGTCATAACGTTGTAGAGGACACTGTATGCTGGTGTCATAACGTTGTAGAGGACACTGTATGCTGGTGTCATAACGTTGTAGAGGACACTGTATGCTGGTGTCATAACGTTGTAGAGGACACTGTATGCTGGTGTCATAACGTTGTAGAGGACACTGTATGCTGGTGTCATAACGTTGTAGAGGACACTGTATGCTGGTGTCATAACGTTGTAGAGGACACTGTATGGTTGTGTCAGACCGATGTAGAAGACAGTTTATGGGGTCATGTCGGGCCGTTGTAGCAGACAATGTTGTGATAGTTGGTGTGACAGTTTACGGAGTCTTGCTGGACCCTTGTAGAAACTAACCGGAATCTATGTCGGGACAGTTGACAGAGTCTTGTCGGACCCATGTAGAAATTAACCGGAAACAATGTCGGGACAGTTTACAGAGTCGTGTCGGACCCCTAAAAAGTCGCACCCTCAAAAGGTGTGCCCAATCTGTTAAAAGGCGTGCCATCAAAAAGCATGCCCAATCCATAAAAAGACGTGCCATCAAAAGGCGCGCCAGACACGCGGCGATGCACGTGATCGACAGAATGCGTGTCGGCCTCTTTGTCATGGTCTTTATAAACCGAAGCGGAGGCTGAGGCTTGGAGGAGAAGCGAAGACAAAAAAAAACTTTGTGAAAAAACTTCTGAAAAAACTCTTCATTTTCTGAGAAGAGATATTCGTTTTCTGAGAGATTGTTTCTAAGAGCTGCAAATCTGAAACACTCTGTAACCAATCATTCTCTGAAAACTCAGCAACCCATAAACATGGCCTCTTCTTCCCGTCCAGCTAACCAGAACATGGCCTCCTCTTCCCGTGGGCTGCTTACGCTCTTTCCAGAACTGAATGAGTCCACAAGAGAAATAACTGGTGTGGTGGCCAGTGAACCTCAACCAAACACCTCGTTTTGCTCCGTTGAACTTTCCGATGCGGTCGGTGGAGCAAAAAATGGCGGTGCAAAACTGATATTGAGGCCAATCAGTAACTCTGAAGTCATGCGTGGAAACCAATGACTGCGGTCACAAATTTGTCGCACCGGCTGCAGAGCAGGACAAATGAGGTGCAACAGTTAAACTCCCAGCTGGCTCTGCTCCAACGCATGTATAAGGATGCGCGAGCCAGAGATTAGTGTGCTAAAGGCGGAAAAATAAGGAGCTGAAGCGGAAGGCCACCGTTATGTTCCGATTTGGAGGGCCGCCATATGCTGCAGTGGAGGAGCAGGGAGTAGTGATCATGCCCAGTGGAGTGGGAAACACGGAGGCAATACCGGCAAGGGCCGCCCAGGACGGAGGCAAGAAGAAAAGACCGCGACAGAGTAGAAAAAATCCCACTGTGGGTGTGGTTGTGTTTTTTTTTTTTTTTTTTTTTTTGTATGTAAAATTGTGATCGGGGTTGATCCCTGAGATGAATAAAATATGGTTTGGTGTGCAAAGCTATATGGTATGAATGGAATTGGAAAAAGATACAATAATGTGAAAGAAAAATAAAGAAAGAAATAATAAAAATATATTTGAAATCAAAATGAAAGATGGGGGAAATAAGGAAAGTAGTTTGGAGAAAATAAATAAAAATAATGGAGTTTGAAATCAAACGGAGGAGAGATGATGATGTTTTTTTTTTTTTAATATAATATAATAAAAAGATATATATATATATATATATAAAATAACGAAAGTGGGGAACAAGGAGTGCACCAATAAGCTTTATAATAAAAAAAAGGTTTGGGCGGTGGATGCATGTGATGATGATAAAAGAAAATAAAAATCATGAAGAGACATGCCAGGTGAGGTGAAGAATAAAAAAATAAAGAAGGAAAAGGCTGAAATATTAAAAAAAAGAAATTGGAGAATTTGAGCATCGTGAGAACAGAAGTGTGGAAAAAGAATAAAAAAGAAAAAGTATAGGTGGGTGAGTGGTGGTAAAGGAAGTAAAAGGAAAAATAAAGAAATAAGAGAAGAAGAGAGAGATGTGTTTGTGATCAGATGGAACAGCATAGCCTTTGGAGCACTTCTCACAAACCCACTGCTTATTATTACTACGTTTCTTCCTGAAATGCTTCTTGATTCCGACTGGAACTAAAACAGGAACCACTCATCGGAATAATTTTTATGATTTCGGAAGCAAGCTTCTGAATTTCAGACATGATCTTGTGATGCGGAGAAGTCGAAGGGAGGGAACTCTTGCAGCAGCTCTCTGAACTTGTTTTCATTTCATGGTTCAGACATGGGACTTATGTGACTTCGGATCAAGGCGAAGACGACGTCGTAGAATGCGAATTCACCGATTGCCGAAACGGCAGCTTAAACAACCCCAAGATTTTACCGTCGGACGACGATTTCTGATCGTCGATCGCCATCGCCGGAAACTGAGTTGACTTGATCTTCGTCGGTGGTTCTTTCGGAAGCAAGCTTCTGAATTTCAGACATGATCTTGTGATGCGGAGAAGTCGAAGGGAGGGAACTCTTGCAGCAGCTCTCTGAACTTGTTTTCATTTCATGGTTCAGACATGGGACTTATGTGACTTCGGATCAAGGCGAAGACGATGTCGTAGAATGCGAATTCACCGATTGCCGAAACGGCAGCTTAAACAACCCCAAGATTTTACCGTCGGACGACGATTTCTGATCGTCGATCGCCATCGCCGGAAACTGAGTTGACTTGATCTTCGTCGGTGGTTCTCAGACCATCGGCGGTGTCTAACGTCGTCGTTTTGAGTTTGTCGATCCTTGTTTCACAGACGAGTTTTGGAATTTTGAATATGAGGTCTCGTTGAGTTCAGGAAATGGAAACGGGGAGAGACACAGAGTACACTATTGGAATTCATGTTCAAGTGCACTATTGGGTACAATGGATCTGAATATGCACCAACATATGAAGACAAAGATGGTGATTGGATGCTGGTTGGAGATGTCCCATGGGAGATATTCATCACCTCTTGCAAAAGGATGAGAATCATGAGAGCATCAGAAGCTAAAGGCTTGGGATGTCTATAGAAAGAAAAAGAAACCCACAAAAAGCGCAACTACACACAATGATGGGAAGGTATGTGTAGAAAATAAGCAGATTAGGTTGAGGTCCGGCGGGCGGCTAAGGTGAGGTTGCCGCCCGCCGGGGAAGCGAAACTATTAGGTTCTAAACCTGCTCTGATACCATGTTAAAAAAAATACTGTATTATTGATTGATATGTGTTGTTGTATCAATTACAAATGGTGAGTGGCTCATTATATAGGAGAGGGTGAGTGTAGTAGGTGAGGAGTAGGTGGTGGTAGGTGATGGTAAATTGGTGGTAGGTGATAGTAAATTTTAACAGTTACGATTGTACGAAGAGGCGTGATCACTATGATGCAACAAAACATAAGGCCCTAGATAAAGCTAAATCATGGAAAAGAACCCTTGTAGCATACCTTAAATAGTTCAAAGAAATCTTGTTAAGTTGTTTGTTTGTATGTGATAGCATGCATGCATGTTTGTTGAGAGAGAGAGAGAGAAAGAGAGACGTACAATGTTGTCAAAGATTGTAAGGTTGAAAACCATGCGGTAACATCTGACTTGTTAAAAGAATTATTGCTAATAGACCTACAAGTCACATTTTAGTCAATAAATAAATTGGTATGTATCATGTATGGAATATAACAACAAAAACAAGGTGATGGCAAGAAAAGTAAATTTTCTTAAGAAGAAAAAAATAAGGAATTAATAAGATACCCATTAGAAAAGTGCTCGAGAATCATGATGCTTGTTCCTAAGTAAACAACATGGTAACTACTTACATGTAGTTAAGAGTGGCCATGCCCGTAAGATTGGGCAAGGAGCCAGACAGTTGATTGTTTGACAAGAACCTGAAGTAGAAAATCAAAAGTCTGTAATACTTAGCTGAAAATCGAATGCAAATTAAGTTGACTACCTGGAAACAAGTATAGATGCTTAAATCAAAAAAAAAATATTTGTTTTGTCTGCTTACAGCTCTCAGACATTTACTAGGTTGTTGAGGTTCGGTGGTACAGACCCACTTAATAAGTTCCTATCAAGACGTTTGTAGCAACACAAGATATACTCAATTCAAAACTTTCATGGAAATTCACAGCTTTATGATTTTAATTGGGTATGACATGGAGATACTCACAGGGCCTCCAAATTCAGTATTGATCCTAGCGTTAAAGGGATGTTGCCACTGAGTTGGTTGCTGTCTAAAAGCCTGCTCAAATCATTTCACATGAAAGTACTGAAATTATTTGCCATATTTAGGGTATTTTGTACAAGTATTGGGCTGCCAGAAAAATTAAATCCAACATTCCCCATTATATATAGAAACAAATAATGTTCAACAAAGCGAACACACAAGACAATTCTAAGGTGTCACGTTTGTGTCAAACACGCTTCCAACAATTGGGGGACACACAACGTTATCACTTAAACACATTGAAAGTTTGAAGAATATAATTTGGGATGTAATGATAATTTTTTGAAAAAAAAATTACTATAATTTATACCTATTAATCTCTCTACTTTAGAATTTTTTATTTTAGGAATTCTAAAACCAATAACTTCCATGTTGTTTATGAGTCCAGATCAGAGATGACAAAAGCTCAGAATAGCAATCATGCTATTAGAGTATTCAGTGAGAGCCCTATGATTACCCTTTAGCTCCAAGCCAATAACAACAAGAACCGTATTCTCATACTTACAAATTGATACCATCCTCAAATAATTTATTACTGCATTATAGTGATAACTGAGTTGAACTTCCTCTCTCAAACAAAAACAGACCAAAAAGAAGAAAAAGAATTCTAATGTGGGAATATATGGTTAATAGCAACTACCAAGGATACTCCTTTTCTGCCAGGTACAAGACAATGACCTTAATAATTGTGTAAAAACAGTAAAGTACCACTTACAATCCCTAAAGAAGAAGATCAAAGAGAAGTGACAATAGTCAGAGAAAAACTTACCAAACTTCACCAGCATGGCCATGCTCACGAAAATTCGCCAATTCATCTGCATAAGTGGCATCCCAATAACTTTGGAAACCCAACATGGATGTAACTGTTTCAGCATCAGGCTCCTCTTTATCAGAACTGTTCATAAAAGCAAATTAAAACTCAAAAAGGCTATATTCAAATTATAATAATAGACCTCTTTTCCCAACTTTAGTATTATTAAACAAATCTCTTTTTCTCCCCCCCCAAAAAAAAAAAAAAAAGGCTCAGAGTTGGTTAGCAGCAATAATAGTCATACACAATCTACATCTGATCTCTTCCTATTACCATAAAGTTCCATAATAGCGTTCACATTTGCCCAACACCTATTTAGCATAGTAAAATCTCATCTATTTTAAAACTTTTTTTTCGAAGTCCAGAGAAATTTAGTTGAACCCACTAACTCAAGTGGGTTGTATAATTCAATACAAACTTGAAAACATTGTGGAACTAAGGTGCGTATATTTGTGTGTATATATTTTTATGTATATATGCAAAGCTCTATAGAGGAATGGTGCAATAAGTTTTGGTCTACAAATTTGGATTTATATCTTGTGGAAACAACCAAGTTTTTATATACATAAAGCTTTACAGCACCATTCCTCAACACACACACACACATATACTATTGTACACATTTTTCACATAGTTGAAACAATTATACATAAACATACAAATAGAATCATGCTGATGAGGGTTTGTGATGAGGGTTTGTGATAAGGGATATCAACTAGATAGCAATTAAAAACAACTAAAGTGATTGAAAGAAAAATGATGAGCAGATCACAATATGTAGATAAGCAAAACGAGACATAAATATTGAAGAAGCAGATCATATAGAAATTCATCGCAAGCACACATACACCTTATGGTATATGTAGGAATATATATATATATATATATATGAATTTTTTTTAAATTGGGGCACTCAAACCTGGTATCATCATCTCTAGATTTTAAGAAATACAAAGAGGGAGATCTGACCTAGGGCTTTGACAGCAAAGTATGTGATCTGTCTCATTTTAATATCAAAATTACACATATAGACCAAATTGAAACTCTTTTTATGTATTCGGGACTAAATTAACACAGTTTAAACATAAGGGATCAAAATACACAAATCTCATATTTAGAGATTACAAATGTAATTAACCTTGTACATATATATTATATATACATCATGTATACAGAGCAAACAGAAAAGGAAACAAATCCAAAGAACAAAGCAGCAAACCCACTAAACAAATGTCATACAAGGTGAAGATCTGAGATGAGATCAAAATTCAATTTGATGGAGGAGGTTACATATACCCAATCTTGGGGTAGAGCTAAATTATGTCCTAGAAGAGTTCTCTATTCCTCCAGAAAATCTGATCTTCCTTAATTTGATTGCTCTGTTTGAATTTTTTGTTTTTTACATTCACATGTGTTAATGTACACCTCCTACACCACTAAAACTTACCATCCACTACACTAAACCTAACCCACTAACCTAACCCACTACAACCCCTCCTACACCACTAAAACCTACCACTACCACTACACACCTCCACTACTCCTCACCCACTCCACCTACCACCTCCACTATACCTACTACCACCACCCACTCTACACCTACTACTCCCAAAATCTCTCTATATATAGGACTTGTAATATACAGATAAAAATATCAATATACACAACAATCTTGTAAATCAATATATCAATCAATAATATATATCCATTTATTTTAACAACATGTAAGCGTACTGATGGGCACAAAATAAAATTCAAACTCTGGCAATAATCAACACCTTCACATTCTAATATATGAAGTTAAAAGTTCCAACATAGAGAGAGAAAGAGGGAGGGAGATGAGAAAGAGAGTGACCAAGAAACTGAGGATATATATATATATAGAGAGAGAGAGAGAGAGTGGAAGAGGGCTTACCATCATGTAATGGTGGTGGATATAGTGGTGGTGGTGATGGCGGTTGGCGTAGCCCTCGATTTTCCTCCAGCCATCAATTTTCCTCTAGCATCATTCTCGAATCGACTACACCAACCCTCGGCAGGACCACTACACATTCTCAGTCGATTGAGGGTCCATCTCCTTCTCGACTTGGCTCACACAAGAGAGACGCAATAGGGATGAGAGCAGAGAGAAATATTGATCGTTAGAAGGCGAGGTGAATCGAGAACAGAGGAGATCAGTCCATAATCGGATGTAGATTGTGAGAGAGAAAGAGAGATGTTGCTGAGAGAGAGAGAGAGAGAGAGAGATGAGTGACTGAGAGAGATGCTGCCGCTGCTGGACGTCGCCACCTCCCTTGCCCTACGCCGTTGAGCACGACTGAGAGACAGATGAGCGACTGCAAGCAAGAGAAGGAAAAGAAAAAGGGTGGGTGGCAAATTTTGGGGGGAATTTTGGGAATAATTTGTTAGTTTTTTTTTTTTTTCTTTCATCAGACATGGCAAATGGGTGCAGTTTGAAAGAGTTAAAATAAGTTTTGTATTAAAAAATTATTTCAATTTTTGAAATTTTTTTTTTTGAGTTTTTAATTAATATTTTTTTATTTTTAGTGAGATTTTTCAATATTTTAATCAATTAAAAAAATGATTAAAATATTTAAAAAGTGTACCAAAAATTTTAAAAAATAAGGATTGAAACTTGAAAATTAGTTTTCGAAATTGAAACCAAACAAAATTGATTCAAACTCATCTATTTAATAAAGGGATTTAAATGGTTTCGGATGAGGTGGAGTGCTAATGGTGGTAGTAGTGGAGCGGTGGCGGTGGAAATGGAGTGGCGGCAACGGTAGTGGTAAAGTAAAACAGTGGTGATGAAAGAAAAATGGTAGCGACAACGGTGGTAATGGTAGTGGTGTGGCAGTGGTAGTGGTGGTGGTGGTGGTGGAGGTAATGGAGAGGTGATGGTGGTAGTAGTGGTGATGCAGTGGCGGGGGCAGCAGTGGTGAAGTAGTGACGATGGTGGTAATGGTGGTGGTGAAGTAGTAGCGGTGGTGGTATAAAGGTGATGGTGGTGGTGGTAAAGTAGTGGTGATAAAGTGGCGGCAGTAGGAGTGGTGGTGGAAGAGAGTTAGTGGTGGCAGTGGTACAGTGGTGATGGCGGCGATGGAAGATATGTGGTGGTAGTAGTGATAATAGTGGTAGAGTGACAACAGTAGTGAAGTAATGGCGACATGGAAGTGGAAGAGAGGTGGTAGTGGAGTGGTGGCAGTAGTAGCTGCGGTGGTAATGGATCCATGGCGGCAGAGATGGTGGTGGTGTTAGAGTGGTGGCAATGGTGGTAGAAAAACCATTTAAACAGGTATTCATGTCTAACCCAAAGAGGGCTTTGCAAAATAGAGACTGATTTAGGCAAACAAAGAGTGTTTCTCAATTATAGCATGAAACAAAGTCGTTTTGCATAATAAAATTATAGGAGACGAAATAATTTCCTCGCGAAAAAATTTGTACAATGGTGACAAAAATTTTTGTCTCTAAAATGTCGCCCAAATATTCTGCGAAATTTTCCAAGGGTGGGAATTTTATTTGTGACGACAAATAAAATATAGAGACGAATAAAATTTTCGTCTCCTATTATTTTATTGATTTTAAGCATTTGGTGACGAAATTTGGTTTTTCTCTCTAAAAATACTATAATTAGAGACGAAATCTTACTTTTATCTCTAAAACATGTATATTTGGAGACAAAAAAAATTTTCGTCATGCTTTTTCATCACTAAAGACCTTTTTGGTTGTAGTGAATTAACCATATAATCTGTGCTATGAACTTAAATGCCATGATCCTTTCCTCTGTCTTTTTGTAAATGTTGTTGTGTATTGGATTGGGAAAAAGGGATGGGGTGTGTGTGCATTTACTGGGCATTCAAAGGTCACGACGTATCATGCCAGGTGTCGAAAATGAGCTTATAGCAGGAGAAGGCGAGCCGGAAACCTTCGAAGACATTTGGTTATCTTAGAAAAGTTAGAAATTTCCTTTTGATGTTTTGTAAAGTTCATATAAAAATTTAAATTTTCTTTTGGGATGTAATGTTAATGGAACAAGTTTTTGTAATTAAGAATATTCGTAATTATTCTATTATTATGTATTTATATTCTAACACCAATATAACCCCAGACGTTGCTTATGGGACCTTGTGTCAATGTCTCTTAAGATCTGTCAAAAGGGTAGTGCGCTACCTAAGAAAGCTAGACTTAGAAGGGAGGCTAATTTAACTCCTCGACGATCTGGGATCTGACTTGGTTATTAGCCATAGGACTCACTAGTGATTTTCCCTTGACTACAACCATTAGTATAGATTTGGGGTGTCACAATTTGGTATCAGAGCCTAGGTTCAACCCTTAGCCCGCACAACCCAATACGCGACTCTAGAAGCGTTTCCTTTTTTACCTTATTAGATTCTATTGTCACACTATTATATTTAAAAGAGACTAATAATTAAAATCTTTTCCCTTTCTCTCTACCCTAGGATGTCGTCAGAAAGTCGCCAGACAACTGACATCAGTCTCGACACGTGGGGAGCATTCCGCATGCAAGGTATGAGGGCCTCGTCCCTTAATATCTACTTTAGCCGTCGAAGGTGTGAATTTGTTGCCGAGGAGATGATCATCAAAGAGATACGAAAGGTGGAAACATATTACTCTTCTTACGCGAGGAAACTAAAGAGGTCTTTGTTTCGACAACGCCTACAATACCTAAGTCGCGCAACAAGGAGTGCAGTCCGAAAGGAGCAAGATGACCAGAAAATGGACTCTCTAATGCACCAAGCCTTAGCAGGAGAAGCACTACACCAATTTCCAGCGGAAAGTGGCGAGTCTCACCATCCTGAGCAGAACGACAATCAGCCAATGGAGGTAGAGAGCAACTTCTAGTACAACCGGGAACAACTCCAACCTTCCCAATTGAGGTGTCATCTGAACACATCCCCCCTTCACCGATATACACACCCCGCTCCCCTGGCTAGGAAACCGACTCGGTTCATGAGGACCCTGAAGAAGACTTTGATTGGTCGAGAAATGAGAGTTAATCTAGGGATAGTAGGCTAGACTTTTTGTAAGATCTACTCATAGGGGTCTTTAAAATGTATGTAGTAACTTTGTGGCTATAACGTGTAATGCTTTTAAGTAAAACTATGGTATAGAAGCCTTTGTACTGACACCTAATATGATATAATGAAATAATGACTTATTCTATATCTGTTTACTATTACTAGTTTTAATATTCATCACACCCTAAGAAAACTATACCTTAATTTCAAATATCATAGAAAGATTACCTTTAGCTAGAAATTTTGAAGCCAACTTACCCTATACCATGAACAGAATGGTGGATACACGAGCTAACGACTATTCAGAAACCAGCAACAATGCTCGAAATTATCCTAGAAATCAGCATGGGCCCATACCCGTGGGAGCCAGTATTCCTAATAATCTTATGCATCAAATTCTAGAGGAATTAGGGAAACTAAGGAACAATCGGCAAAACGAGAGAACTCAACTCTTTTCGGAGTTCAGAAAACAAAGGCCCCTAAAGTTCAAAGGAGTACCAGTCCTGAGGGTGGCTAAGAATTGGCTTCAACAGATAGAGAAGATGCTAGACACTATGGGAATAACTGAAAATGCCGATAGAATAGCCTTGGCTGTGTTCGAGCTTGATGATGAGGCTAATCATTGGTGGGAACTAATCAAGAATACGCGTGACGTTACAAACATGTCGCGGAACCAGTTTAAGGAGTTGTTCCTGAATAAATACTTTCCAAGTACAGTTCGTCGAAAGCGAGTCAGGGAATTCCAAAACCTGAAGCAAGGGAATATGACCGTAACCCAATATGCGGCAAAATTTGAAGAGTTAGCCCGTTACGCAACTAGATATGTAGCAAATGACGAAGAGAAAGCAAGGATGTTCGAGTGGGTGCTGGACCTTACAATCAGGGGAAGAGTTCTCTCCCAACGACTCCACTCATATGCCGAGGTGTTGGAGACGACATTAGAATCTGAAAGGTAAGTAGTTGACCCTAGGAAGACTTGGAATAAGCGGAAAGGGGGTCAAATATCTGTTGGACCTCAGAGGAACCAGAAAGGAAATATGGCCTTGAAGCCCTACTCTAGACCACAACTGCAACAGCAATGACAATAACCGTATCAACAGATCCAAAGAAGAGGCTATCAACCCAGGCCGGCAGGACAACTCCAGTGCTTTCATTGCCAACATTGAGGCACAAAAAGAGCGAATGCCCCTAACTTCCACCATTCGGATACCAGGGAAGAGGTTCCGGAGCAAATGCACAAGCATTAGGTGGATAGAAGCCTTGGACAAACAAGACAGGACCTACCAGGCAACAGCACCAGAAGAGTAGAGGAACTCAGAACGCCAGGACTAGTGGCAACCAGAAGGCAACCAGCAAAGTCATTGCCCTGCAAGAGGAAGAAGCGGACTCATCTATAATTGAGGGTAATTTAGTGCTATATAATTCTTGGGTGCATGTTTTATTTGATACTGGTGCATCGCATTCTCTTATATCCTCTCTTGTGCTAAGTTATTAGAACTTGAATGTGAACCCTTTAAAACTGCCTTAAATGTAATGTCACCTATGGGAGGATGCGTTTGGATAGGGTTGATCTGTAAGGATTGTAAAATAGGAGTGTCGAACATACACTTAACTTGCAACCTTCGTGTCATGGAAATGTTAGACTTCGATATCATTTTGGGCATGGACTGGTTGTCTGCCCACCGAGTGGTGATCGACTGTCGTCAAAGGAAAGTAGTAGCTCACATGCCTGATGGAGCACATTTCCAATTTAAGGGGGACATACAAGACTCCACGACTTCAACAAAACATAGGACGCGGTGGCACGATCAACTTGCTGGTAGGATAGCAAGTTTGATTTTAAATAAGGAGGGCCAAGAAGAATTAGAACTTTCGTGAGTAGCATGTGAATATGCAGATGTATTTCCTACGGAATTATCAGGATTGCCACCAACCCGGGAGGTAGACTTTAGTATTAAGCTACAACCTGGAACTAACCCAATATCCATGGCTCCATATCGCATGGCACCAGCAGAACTAGAAGAATTAAAGACACAACTACAGGAGTTGCTCAAGAAAGGATTCATTAGGCCAAGTACTTCACCATGGGGAGCACCCGTGCTATTTGCTAAAAAAAAGGATGGGTCGTTAAGGCCCTGCATCGATTACCATCAACTTAATCGAGTCACGATCAAGAACCGATACCCACTCCCAAGGATTGATGATCTTTTTGATCAAGTTAGAGGCTCAAGGTGCTATTTAAAGATCGATCTTAGATCAGACTACCATCAACTACGAGTAAAGGAAGAGGATATACCAAAAACTACCTTTCGAACTAGATATGGTCACTATGAGTTTGTAGTAATGCCCTTCGGACTAACCAAAGCACCGATAGTATT